ACACATCCACGACCCATTTTCAATGCCCTGGCTGAGGGAAGGAGGTTCTCACCCAAGATTTGACGGTACATGGCCCCATCCATCGTCCCTTTAATGCGGTGAAATTGTCCTGTCCCCTTAGCACCTCCATGTTTGACGGTGGGGATGGTGTTCTTGGGGTCATAGGCAGCATTCCTTCTCCTCCAAACACTGCGAGTTGAGTTGATGCCAAAGATCTCCATTTTGGTCTCATCTGACCACAACACTTTCACCCAGTTGTCCTCTGAATCATTCAGATATTCATTGGCAAACTTCAGACGGGCATGTATATGTGCTTTCTTGAGCAGGGGGACCTTGCGGGTGCTGCAGGATTTCAGTCCTTAATGGCGTAGTGTGTTACCAACTGTTTTCTTGGTGACTATGGTCCCAGCTGCCTTGAGATCATTGACAATCCTCCCGTGTAGTTCTGGGCTGATTCCTCACCGTTCTCATGATCATTGCAACTCCACGAGGTGAGATCTTGCATGGAGCCCCAGGCCGAGGGAGATTGACAGTTTTTTTGTGTTTCTTCCATTTGCGAATAATCGCACCAACTGTTGTCACCTTCTTACCAAGCTGCTTGGCGATGGTCTTGTAGCCCATTCCAGCCTTGTGTAGGTCTACAATCTCATCCCTGACATCCTTGGAGAGCTCTTTGGTCTTGGCCATGGTAGAGAGTTTGGAATCTGATTGATTGATTTCTTCTGTGAACAGGTGTCTTTTATACAGATAACAAGCTGAGATTAGGAGCACTCCCTGTACGAGTGTGCTCCTAATCTCAGCTGTTTACCTGTATAAAAGACACCTGGGAGCCAGAAATATTTCTGATTGAGAGGGGGTCAAATACTTATTTCCCTCATGAAAATGCAAATTAATTTATAACATTTTAACATGCGTTTTTCTGGATTTTATTGTTGTTATTATGCCTCTCACTGTTCAAATAAACCTACCATTAAAATTATAGACTGGTCATTTCTTTGTCAATGGGCAAACGTACAAAATCAGCAGGGGATCAAATACTTTTTTCCCTCACTGTAGATAGCACGCACGGGGAAGGGCGGTGGCTCCATAAGAGGCCCCTTTCTCACTCCCCCTTACCCTCCCAGTGCGAGTTCTGCCTCTTATTGAGATACTCGCCTGGGTAGCCGCCCGACCATGGAGCGTAGCCCTCCCACCTCGGACTGGACTATCTCCGCTGTTGACTGCAGCTTGGTCACATTCAGGTGTACTTGGGTTACCTCCCCGCATACTTGGGTTACCTCCTTGCGTACTTAAGTCACATGGCCTGCGATATCTCCTATACCAGTCTGTATCCCTGCCACCCATCCTGGGGTTGTCTCACGGGATCCCGGAGGCTTCCTCGACCCCCCCCCCCCTCACCGTCCTGGCGAGCTTCTCCTCCTCTAGAAGAATACTTGCAATGGTGCTATCCCGTCCCAGCCGTCGGAATTCCGCACTATCGCAAGCAAATCTCACACACACATGTGCGCGTGCTCGGCAAGGATGTTAAATGGGGGATTTGGGCAATTGGCATCTGGCTGCCACCCCGTTGTGCTTGTCAGATACTGCTGAACTTTCTCGGCAGCGAGGTCATCGATGATCTCGGCAGTGTATCCCGGGCGTGCGCTCTCTGTTAGCAAGCGTGATTTATTTTAGTGCGTGCTCACTGAGATCCGAAGTGAGAAGTTCACATCGTGGTTATTGTTGTCGTGGTGGTAGTTGTTTACCCAGGTAGAGCCTCGCTCCTTCTCTCATAGGGAGGCCGCTTTGGATTGCACGACTCTTCGATTTCACATTAACATGCTAATTTATCACATTAACATCACTAGCCCGGCCACTTCTTTATGACCCTTGGGCTACACCCATTTCAAACCTTTTAAAACAGTCTGCCTCAGACCATGCTTTCCCACCTGATGACGGACGCTTGTGTTGCGCCCGAAACGTCGTGATTTATTTTATTTTATACCTATGTGACTTTCCCGAAAGAACCAAAGATTATGAGTTCCTACAGTTACGAAAGCTTCAAATCAAGAATGCATTTTCTATCAGAGTATGTTTTTGTTTGCATTCTGACCACAAGTATTATGGTTAATGCACACATGATTCCTTGTGTAGTGACATAAGAAGGGAGGGGCTGCTGGGGGCTCTGGGACCCTGGGCGGCCCAGGCGCTTGGGCCCCTTGGCGCCGGGCACTGGGTTCCCAGGCGGCCCAGACGCTTAAGCCTCTTGGTGCCAGGCGCTGGCTTCCCGGGCGGCCCAGACGCTTAAGCCCCTTGGCGCCACCAACGGGGGGGGGCTGTGTGTGCTCTGTGGGATATCTGGGGGCGCACACGGCCCCACCCCTCGTTGGGGACTAGGCATAAAAGGGGAGATCTCTGGACGATCAGGGCCAGTTGTAGCTCAAGACCCAAGACCAGCCATCTCAGGACCCTGGGATGCTGTGAGAGCCAGTGGAACTCCCGGCTCTACGTCCTTGTGAGGGCGAGTTCCAGAGCGTAGCCAGAGTAGTGGATCTAAGCTGTGTACCTAGGCTGTGTACCTAGGCTGTAACAGAGTAAAAGGACTGTTGGAGTGTTGGATTGTAATAAAGAAGTTACCTCTACAAGTGTCTCCAGAACCCATTACACTTGTAAAAGGTTTCAGTTTGGTGTTTTAACATCTTAACACCTGTTTTGTTGCCAGAAAAACGTGGAAACCCTATTCTCATATTTTGGTACTGGCAAAGGTTCCATGATGAAATATTGCAGTATATTAGAGGTGAGCTGTGCGTGTGCAGAGAGGACAGTAAGGAGCTGGAAGTTAATGAATTTTGTGGCAAAAATGCTGGCCTGATAATATGTAAGGATAATGTGGTAAATGAGAAAAAATATAGTAGCGGCGGGGTGTTGGAGTGTGCAGGTTACAGGTGTTGAAGGTGAACAGGTAAGCTAAAAATTGCGTGAAAAACATAATAACCTTCCTTGAGTACGTATGGAATTTTTGATGTATGTATGTTTCATAGTGTTGGCGCAATTTGGTTCTCAAAAAAACACACAGTCTGCTTTATTTATATACATTTATACTCATCTTGGAATGTTTTGTATACAGTTTCTCCACATTTATTTGAGTAATTTAGTTTATTTGGAATACAGTACAGTACGTATTTCAATTGTGCTGTATAGTTTAGTTGCCGTTTACCTAACCCCATTATTTAGGTAAGGCTTTAGTATTGAATATCGGCATTTTAGCTTTCACACGGCACTTTTCAAGAATGTAACCTCCGCGCTATTCAAAGAGCTGTTGTATTTTCTGTCCATTAGCTATAACACAGGGGTACGGATTTTCTGCAGAAACTAGATCTCTGCTTTCTTGGTGTAATTACGGCCTATAGTACCATAAATAGGCTTGGGGTTTTGGATTGTTTTTCGTTTTCGGTGTCTCTGCCTCTGCTCACATTCGTTGAGGATTTTTATGATTTTTGGCTGACCCATCTAAAGCTGCGTGACCAGGAGTCGGATCCCTTTCTTGTTCAATTTGGCTTGTGGCTGAAATTCCCTCTGGCCCCATGCATTACATTACGTAGCATTTTCAAATAATGATGTTTTTTGAGAAGCTCACAATGGCCCTATAAAAAATTGCATTTCATACAGTAACAATGATATGCTAATCGATGCCTGGCTGTCGTCAAGGGATCGTCCCCTGCTGGTCAACCATGTTACGCATGTTGATGATCTAGTCATGGCTACTCAATGATATTGAGTTGTAAAATCGTGTTCTGTACATGGAGAATTCTATGACGAAATGGGACCTTGCATATGTTCTACAAAAAGATCACCTCCCTGGGAAAATCTTGACTTATAGCTTTCGTAACTGCAGGAATTCATATTCTTTGGGTCTTTCGGTAAAGTGACGTGACTTTACCGAAAGACCCAAAGAACACCTCACTGGGAATGTAATGTCATACAACACTGCACCTGCTCAGCTCTCCATGAATAATCAGGTAGTTCTACACGTGGTGGAGGAGCTCCTATACCTGGTTAATGTGTTCACGACCAGCTCTGGTTTGGCATCCAAAGTCTCACTTCAAATTAGTCTAGCAGCATTCTTTCATTAGTTTCTGTAACACTATGTTGGAGCTGCCTGGACTTTTTTTCTATACAAAGCTGTGAGTGTCCATCGCCAAGGTCTCGTCCATTGCAAAGGTCTCATCAAAAAACAGGCAATAGTCTACATTATAGACTGCCAATACACTAACGGAGGTTAAGAACCAGGCTACAGTCTACATTATAGACGGCCAGTATGCTCACTGAGGTTAATAACCAGGCTACAGTCTACATTAGTCGTGTTTTTCTTCTATTCACTTTATTTGTATTATTATTTTCTATCTACGTGACTTTTCCGAAATAACCAAAGAATAGGAATTCCTGCTGTGACAAAAGTTTTAAGTCAAGATTTTCCCAGGGAGGTGATCTTTTTGTAGAACATATGCAAGGCCCCATTTCGCCATGGAATTCAACAGGTACAGAACAAGGTTTTATAAGAATGGAAACAGGAAATTAACACTGCACATATGCAGCTGAAGTTAGATCTGTTAATCCTCGCATTCAAGTTCATCTGAGCCTGGCTTCAGACCTCTAAGTTGCAAATGAACATTAATTTATACATTTCTGCATAATACAAATATTATTCTTTTCAACAGCCTTTGCTATGTTAGCTAATTTTTCTTAAATAAATATTCCTGTCGTAGCTAGACAACCGAAATTGTGTGCTTGGAGTTTTTGGTAAACATTCAATTTGAAGATACTCGGGTGTCCAGGCATATTTTGACCATTTGCCCTCTCATTGTGTGCCTTAACAGCCCGTGTGATGAATTGGGGAATCTCTTTCACTATATCATGAAAATATGAATATGTATAAACGTGTAAGTCATGTGTGACTGTGTATATATGCATTCCTCTGTGCCTCAATACTCACGGAGATGGTGTGGAAATGTCTGCAGCTGACGCTTGCTCTGCAGAGTTGTTCTGATGGAGCAAAGGCACTCAGCGCAGCTCGGTACAAGGAGGAAACAATGCGACCAGAATGCAAACAGCATGGATTGTACTGGAAATTTGATGCAGCACCAGAGAACACACACAGGAGAGAAACCCTACAAGTGCACTGTGTGTGGGAAGGCGTTTGCACTGTCATCTACTCTTAAAAAGCACCAGAGAACACACACAGGAGAGAAACCCTTCAAGTGTAGTGTGTGTAGGAAGGCATTTTCAGGTTCATCTACTCTTCAAAAGCACAAGAGTACACACACAGGCGAGAAACCCTTCAAGTGCAGTGATTGTGGGAAAGCATTTGCACAGTCATCAATTCTTCAGACACACCAGAGAATGCACAAGCATCAGAAAATCCACAAGAAGTGTAATCTGAAATCAGCTTGTGAAAGTCAAGAAAACAATCCCAGCCTGGACACTTTGAAAGGTATCAAGGTGAAATGTGAAGAAGTAACAGTGAAGAGCGTAGAAGTGAAGGTTACATTTGAAGATGATTCAACTCCAAAATCGGACCTTCACATAGATGGAGGCAGTGTGAAGCAGGAACTAAATTCTGACTGTGAGGCAGAGCGAGGCAACTTCCAGGAGTATGTGGATGTGTGGGTGGACTTAGACAATACAAAGTCAAATGCAGACTAGGTAGATGTGCAAGCTTGAGACAATTAAGCTCCAATGGATGCACCTTTGTCACAGGCCTTTCTAATGAAAATAATGTGAAGTTGAACACTCAATTTCTAGGTTCAAACTGCAGAGTAAGAGTGGCCAGTATTTGTGGACCTGTGGGTTGGGTCGATCTCTAACCAAGAGCGACTCAAGTGTTTTGTATCATATCTCATCTTAAACACTCGAAGGGTGCCCATAATGGGCATCTGCCCCTGTTTGCCACAAGGTGACCGTTCACTGGCCTGCATGTGGATATGAGTTTGTTAGTTGGGGGTGATGATTGATATGCCATTCGGATTTGAACCTTGAACCTCTGCAACAAATAGAGAATTTACTACTACTTGACTTCCCTCTGAGAGTGCTGCACGTATAGGCCTCATCTAGTCAGAGATCAACTTGTAAATATGTTGCAACGTGACGCAGTACATTTCAGTTGAGTAATAAAATGTTGCCAATGTGCCTTTTGATTCTTTTGAATCATAATTGAAAGAATACCTGTCTGATTCTCTACGTACATGCAACATTTTGTGTATTAATTTCAAACATGGAATATGTGATGTCAGGACAAAATATCTGTTTTGGTGGTAACCTCTACATATCACTCACATGAGAGCTGTTTTTGTGATATGGGTCAAAGGGTATTTTTGTGAATTAGGACGCATCTGACTGGGGAAACTCATTGTCTTTGAAATCGGGAGCATAAGTCGGATCATTCATCAGTTATAAGGCATGCCACTTAAAAGTTACGTATAGGAGATACATTCTCCACAAGAACACTAATTATCATTTTGTATTACGTATATAAATTTTGTCGAACTGAGACTTGAAATGGACCTTGCTGATGAACATCAGTTGAAGCAAGCCCGATTGTTGTTGAGACATTGTGCACCAAAACCATGCATTCCTAGAAGGCCGTGGTATTTATAGTTTGTGTAATACATTCCTTTGTTTCGTGTAGAGAACGGTGAATGAAAAATGTCTGTTGATATGTTTTTTCGCAAGGAGGTACTTTAAAGAGCACATTTGAAGGCATCGCGGATTTTTGTTACAGATTTGTATTCTAGCCTAGATTTTATTGAATGTTTACTTTCATTTAAATAAAACTTTATATATGTGTCCATTGATATCCCACCTTGTTTACCACATGTTTACTTAAATATGTAGTGGGTTACGTCAGGGCCTCCCCCTCTCTCTGGCTTGTGATGTCACCAAGAGCAGAACTCACCTCCACGGAATCTAACGACTGCACTGTCTTGGAATGCATTTACACAGTAATCAAATCTTCACAACTGCCAGGGAACACACATTAAAAACCACTTCAAGTACACTTGGAAGGCCTTTAGAATTGTTTTGAAACTGAAACGCGCGTAAGGAGGTCTACAAGGAGCAGAGTCTGATATTGACGTGTGAAATTCGATGTTCCATAAGCCCATCGTTTGTGATGCAAGGACCCAATAAAGATGGCAGCTTGGAAACGTCACAATTTGTGAAGGTGACTTGTGAAGGCTCTCGGGTTTGACTTCCAGGTCGCTAATGGAGCCCGAGACAAATCACAGCCATTTATGGATGTGGAGGTTTAGGAGGACTTTTCGGACAATGTAGAGTAGAAGCAAACAGCATGTGTGACCATAAATGTTGGGTAGACCTGTAACCAAAAGCATGAGACACGGTTTCCCAATGTTTCAATGGTTTAGTTTTTAGTTGATTAGGAATACAGTACTTATTTCAATTGTGTTGTAAATTTTAGTTGACGTTTACCTAACGCCATTACTTGGGTAAGGCTTAAGTATTGAATATCGCGTTTTTAGCTGTCGCGTGGCACTTTCCAAGAACGTAACCTCCGATATTGAAGAGGCGGCTGCATTTTCTGTCGATCGAGGACAGCAGGGGAGTACGGATTTTTACTAGAAACTAGATCTCTTCTTTATTGATGTAATTAAGGCCTATGGTACCATAAAGAGGCTTGGTGCTTTGGGTTCCTTGATTTCGATCTCTCTGCCTCTGCTCACATTCGTTGAGGATTTTTATGATTTTGGGCAGGCCCATCTAAAGCTGCGTGACCAGGAGTTGGAGCCATTTCCTGTTCAACTCGGCTTGTGACAGAAATTCACTCTGGCCCAAAACATTACATTACATAGCATCTTCAATAATTATGTAGTTTGAGAAGCTCACAATGGCCATATAAATAAATTGCATTCATCGCGGTTACAATACTATGCTTATCGATGACTGGTTATAGTTAAGGGATCATTCCCTGCTGGTCAGCCCTGTTGCATCTGCTGATGATCTGGTAATGGCTACTCAATGAGATGGGAGTAAGGGAATCTTGTTCTGATGCCTGGATAATTCCATCATGAAATGCGGCCTTGCATATGTTCCACAAAAATAAATCACCTGCTTGGGAATCCATGTCATACAACACTGCACCTGCTCAGCTCTCCATTAATCAGGCAGTTCTACAAGTGGTGGATAAGTTCCCATACCTGGTTCATGTGTCGAGCAGCATTCTTTTATTATACTGTAACACTGTGTGGAAGCTGCCTGGACTTTTGCTGCCTGGACCTTTGCTGCCTGGACCTTTGCTGCATACAAATCTGTGAGTGTCCATCGCCAAGATCAAGTCCATCTGAGACCATCTCTCTCCCTCCCATACTAGCATCACACCCGCCCCTAATTTTTCGTTCTGCGGATGGTGGGCGCACTGGATGGTGCAACGTAGCCATTTCAGGCTGGGCCAGACCGGGATACGTGGGTCACCCGGCCACAAGGTGCTTGTTGGCGAACACAACCCCTGGGCCGGGCCCCAGGGATGATATCAATACAGAATATATGTAAGGATGCCCCCCCATTGGACTCCCCCTGGAACTCTACCAGGCATGTGCCACTGGGTGAACACCTCGGGGCTGGCCCAGGACACGCTGGTGGGACTGTCACTCGGCTGGCCTGGGAACGCTTAGGAATTCCCAACAAAGAGCTCGAGTCTGTCGCCAGGGAAAGGGAGGCCTGGACCGCCATACTCAACGTGCTGCCACTGCGACCCTCACCAGGACAAGCAGCTTTAGAAAGGAACGAAAGAACAAAGCTGCTGGGAGTCTTCTTGGCTACAGATATTACTCCTTTCTCTGTGGATGCAAATATTAACTTATTTAAATATCTACTGAAATTGCCAACACATTGGCATGTTGCATAGTTGGGTCTCGCCTTGACTATTGCAACTCCGTCCTAGTCCGGACCTCAGCTGGCAACCTAAAGAAACTTCAAAGACTACAAAACAACCTAGCACGCGTCGTCATTTCCCACACTCATCCAGTCTTGACTCACTAGCTTGTCCCCGTGCTCTCAACTGGCTACCCATCGCCAGTAGGGTCACATACAAGACCGCCTGCCTCTGCCACAATGCCTTCATATCCGCCTGCCCGCCGTACCTTTCTTCATTATTGACAACTTGCAGCTCAGCACAAGGCAGATGCCTGCGCAGCGCGACTCACGACCTCCTCTTGATACCAAGATCCAGGATGGTCATGTCTATGCGCCGCTTCTCGGTGGCAGCCCCAACAGTCTGGAACGATATCCCTCTGCATATTCGCAGCATCACCTCAATCGCCTCTTTCAAGAGAGACTTAAAAACACCTCTACAATCATGCTTTCGAGCGACTCTGAGCTTGGTTCCGCGCCTCTGAGTTGCGGCCACTACGTCTGCAAATTTGCGCGCGTTACAAATTGAACTATTATTATTATTAAATCACCGTCTGTGCTGGCCTATACAATGAAGGCTGGCCTGCTTATGATCAATCCGCTATTGAACCAGACTATATTGTATTAGAAGCTTACAGATCCAAAAGATATTAATATAGAATATAATCAGTGAGTCTATTTGGCAGGCAAGGCTCAATTGGTTTGACCATGAATCCCACATTCCCAGACACCGCATGCTCAAGCAGCTTCTGTTAGTCCAGATATTATGGGCTAAACAGGCATGGCATTGGCTAGAGAAGAGATTAGAGGATGTGGAGGTGATCGGACCTGCCGATGACTGGTGCCAGTGAAGATCGGTCTCTGGAGGAGGCCCGTAAGGTATGCTGCAGGGCAGTTGGAGGTATTTGCTCTGCAACAATGATGAGGTCGAATGAGCGACGCTCACATGAATGGGTGGAACGCTGGGTGCTTAAAATGCAGAAAGAAAGCTGGGAGCACAGCTGGTGCATCTGTCAGTCATCTCTTGACACCTGGACCATTCGCATGCTCTACTGACAAGTGATCCACACTTACATGGCCTTAAATTGCACCTATCATGGCATGAGCACTGATGAGATTAATTCCAATTCGTCATAAATGTGGCTGTTTTTTATAGCATATGTTAATGATTCACGTGCAATGCATGTGTATGTAAGACTTTATCTATGTGAGGAGCGGTGGCGCAGTTATATCACTGCAGTATGAATTCAACAATTAGAGTTTGATAATCGTCGACAGCAAACATCATTGATAAGTGAAAGCTGAACTTATTATGGACTTCTATGTTGATTGATCCTCAAATAATTACATAGTGAAGTGAGGAAACATTAATACTGAGCAGATGAAGGCGGCCAGGCATGGTTCTGGACACACCATCACATTTTACCATGCCAGTGTGTGACAGTGTCAAGTTTGTATCTGCTGTAAAATATATTAAGACAGCACATTTCCAGCTAAAGTTAGATCTGTTCATCAAAGCATTCAAACAAGTCTGAGCCTGGCTTCACGCCTCGAAGTTGCGATTGAACATTAATTTATACATTTCTGCATAATACAAATAGTATTATTTTCAACATCCTTTGATATATTTGCTGAATTTTAATTTTATAAATATTCTTTTGGTAGCCAGACAATCAAAATTGTGTGCTTGAAATTTTGGGTTGACATTCATTTTGAACATAATAGGGTTTTCAGGCATATTAGCCCTCATTATATGACTTAACAGCCCGTGTGATGAAT